GTCGTTCCACTCGAGCAGGCCTTGTTGCGCTCGAGCGGAGATTGCACACTCCCAGTATTTCGTGTCCCTGCAAAACTTCTACAGGTGTGATTTTTACGCTCGAGCGGGTTTCTTTACGCTCAAGCGGTCGCGGTCGCGCTCGAGCGGGTACTCTGGCGCTCGAGCGGGTAGTACTTTTTGGTGTAAGTTCTGGGAGGGGGAAATCTATGCTCGAGCGGACTAGTTTTCGCGCTCGAGTGGATGCACTTTATTCTTGTGTCTTGGCGCTCGAGCGGGCCTTCTTGTGCTCGAGCGTACCTAGTTTTTTGTTCTTGACGCTCGAGCGTTGTGTTCTCCGCTCGAGCGGGAATGTCGTAACGAACACAAACATGGATAATCACCGGGTGTTCAAACGGTGACGTCCAAGTCTTGAGGACGGTCAAAAATGGGGTGTCTACAGTTGCCCCTCTTTGACAGAACTCGAAAGTCATAACAATGACGGGAGTGAATGTCAAAGCCCAGAGACGACCCATTTTTGACAAGGCCGAAGACTTAGACAAACATGCAAGACAAACAAGGTATGCGCCCGAAGGCAGGGGCAAAATGCAAGACAATGCACGAAGCCGAGCATAACTTATGATCATGCAAAGAAAAGCTGTAACGAAGCATAACATGCGACAGTTTTAAGCTAGCATACACCAAACTACATTACAATGCAAAAAAGATGTAAGAGAATTATGTAATTCTCGATACGTCCCACTCGGAGGATACAATACCTGTGCAGCTCGTTTGGTCGCACCAACCTCAAATGAACCGTACATATAATATCGTGCCTGCAAAGAAAACAAACTTAACAGGTACAATATCGTTAGCAAAATGCATAATAGTGTACTCGAAATGCGTGACAACGTAAAGCAAGTGGGAAGCATAACAATGCTGTGAAGGCATAATGAAATTGATTACAAACATGCAGTCTACGCAATCAAAACATGCGGTCTACGCAAGCGAAACATGCGGTCTACGCAAGGAAAACATGCGGTCTACACAAGCAAAACATGCGGTCTACGCAGGTAATGAAATTGATTACAAACATGCGATCTACGCAAGCAAAACATGCGGTCTATGCAAGTGAAACATGCGGTCTACGCAAGCAAAACATGCGGTCTACGCAAGCAAAACATGCGGTCTATGCAGGTAATGAAATTGATGACAAACATGCAGTCTACGCAAGCGAAACATGCGGTCTACGCAAGGAAACCATGCGGTCTACGCAAGCAATGAAATTGAATGCAAACATGCGGTCTAAGCAAGCAAAACATGCGGTCTACGCAAGTAGTGAATTTGAACAAACATGCGGTCTACGCAAGTAATGAAATTGATCAATCATGCGGTCTACGCAAGCAAAACATGCGGTCTATGCAAGTAATGAATTTGAACAAACATGCGGTCTACGCAAACAAAACATGCGGTCTACGCAAACAAAACATGCGGTCTATGCAAGTAATGAAATTGATCAATCATGTGGTCTACGCAAGCAAAACATGCGGTCTACGCAGGTAATGAAATTGAACAAACATGCGGTCTACGCAAGCAAAACATGCGATCTACGCAAAGAAAGCATTGCGGTCTAAGCAAGTAGTGTGTATGAGAAGAATTGAATGTACACATGTAAGTAAAAACATGTCATTCACGATACTGGAATGTAAAGTACTGTAACACAGCATACTTGAAACGATTTGTGGAATTCACAAGACAGGAAAAGGATACGGGACGGGACGTTCTTCGTACGTATCGAGCATCGCTCGCAGAAGTTGTGGCCTGAGGTCAACTCGAAGGTCCGCATTTCAAAAGTGTGCTTTCCCTCATTGTCTTGAGTGACGAAGGTGCCAAACCATGTAGTTGACCCGAACAAAGGTGCGGAAGGTGTGTTGACTGCAAGGGGAGTTTTATTGGTATCAATTCCGACACTTTGCTACCCTGCCATTCTATGCTTTACTTTACTTTTTACTGGTAGTTTAAGCACATTGCACTGCCTCAGGCAGGTTTTATTTTTTCTCAAAATTACAAATTTTGCAAAACATGTGACGGGAATGAAACAACCATTTTGTTCAAAAGATGTTGCATTTGTAAACTTTCTATGCATCGCATCGCAAGGTATCACACCACAACGTGAACGAAATTGAACCTATTTTGAACACTGAACATTTGCATCGTAATAATCAGGTAGTGAACCGACTTACAACTCGATAAGAAAAACAAAGACATGATATAACCAAACAAGTGTGAGTACAACTCGATAAACAAATCAAAAACTCAAAGAGAGTGAAGTACAACTCGATAAGCAAATGTTCAATGACTTGATAAACAGACAGGTGTGACTTCGCAAGAATCGATCACTGGGGGAGGGATCGGAGGTGGTGGAGTTCCCCAATCCCTAGCATAAACAGCTCAGGGAACCATGAGGAAGCCCATCGGCCAGGGGTAGAGGCCATCGGCCAGAAATTTGTTCGGTCGGAAAAATATAATGGCCGGTTGGCAGAATATTTGGCCGGCCGGCTATGAATGAGGGAATCACCAGAATGTTGACACCTGTCCTCCACCCAACCTTATCTCCTACAAAAGACCCCAGCTTCGTAGTTTTTCTCAATTCCACACTGATTTGCTCTAATGGAAGAGTTTCTTGCTCAAAATCTCATAGCTTGGATTGCTAGCTTGGATGGCTTGGAAAAGTTGAATTTCTAGGGTTTCGGCATAAATGCACTATTCACTCTAGGTCGTACCACATTGCACCTCCTGTTTCTCCATGCCGCGGCAAGGTTTTGGAATCCGGTGACGCATGTCTTTAGCTTCGCTGGGCAAGAGATGTGTCCTACCTTTGAAGATTTCCGAGCCTTAATGGAGTCCGAGCGCGACGAGGAGCGCTTGCCCCAACTTAATTTTGGCCATGCCCAATCCTTAGGGCGAATGTGTGGACTCAGTATGCGTGATGCTCGGTCTCTGATTTGTGACGAGATGCTGGACATTTCGAGTTTGACCGATTGGTTTTTTGATGCTGGTGATCACAACAACCATCACTGGCAAGGCTTCTGGCGACACGCCCTCTGTTTGTGCATGCTCTCTCATTTTCTATTTGTCTCAGGCTCCGGAGGGTCTAGTGTCCGGCTGACCGAGGTTGCCCAAGGCTTAAAGGAGGGCAAGAGCTGTATGCCATGACTCTGGCTGAGACGTTGATGGGCTTAGACGCCTTTTATCGTCATGAGACGACCAGATTAGCGGGGAGTCCACTACTACTACAGGTAACGTTTCCCACCCAATCTTACATATGCATTGCTCACATCACTCGGCCCTCAAGCTCGGTCTTTTCTCATAAAACCCTATTCTCGCTTTTCTCTCCTCGTACATCTCTCTATTCTTTATGCTCTCATTTTTCATCCCTCCCCAGGTATGGTTGATGGACAAACTACAGGTTGTGGACTCTTGCCCAGCATATTCAGCTCGCGGCTACTTCTTCCGACACCGTCTAGTCAACGCCCTGGATGAGAGATGGTGGTTCGCTTGGATGTGCCGCTTGTCCGCAGACCGTATTGCTTGGCGGTGCCCTTGGCTGAGCCTTCCGGCAATGAGTTCCAATATGCCCCGGCAGACTGGGATTCAATTGATTGGTCTTACTCACTGTGTGTTCTACTTCCCATTTCGGATTCGACGCCAATTCGGCCATGATCAGACCTGCCTGCCAGAGTGGATAGAGTATCCTGCTGCATTCCCAGCCCGAGGCGCACAGCTTGCTTGGCAGGCCACCGCGTGGAGGACGAGAGAACTCCTGGCCCCCGCTCCCACTTTCAGTTGCACTTTGTCTGATGAGTGCTTGGATTGGCTTAATGAGAAGGCACAGGTTGGGCCTAGCTTGGCATCAGACGCTTCGTCCAGCTCTGGGAGGGGACGCAGAGATACTTGATTCAACTATGCCCCAAATTTATTGCTTATTTAGCATTTTCAAGTTTTCGTTATGAATGTAACTATTCATAACAAATAACTATATATACACACACAGTGGGAAAGCTAATTCATATGAAAGCAAAGCACTATAAGTTAACAACAGTACCAAAAGTACAAATACATTCATAATGCTGTATGAAGTTATTAACAAACCCATTAAAACAAAAGATATGAGTGCACATTATACAAACTTATCTTGATTTATCGGGCACAAAATACCATATTTTATTATTTTGGCTAAAGAATATTGTCTAATCTACTAACATTCAACATATTTCCACTAAAAAAACCTTTATTAGTAAGATAGTCTCGCAAATAAAAACAGATAAAAAGTACTGCCATGAAAAACAAGTACACAACTTCGACATGTTTAGCCAGAAAAGTAGAGTTATTGTAATGCTTAATCAAACATTGTCATACGAAACACTTGCCAAATTACCTCCTTGTCCTTCCATTACAAACAGAAACTTGAAGCAAATTTGCTGTTTGTAAAACAGAAAGTCTAGGAACCCATAAAACAAACCAGAAAATGACACATAAATTGTAATCATATCAAAGGTCTATATTAAAATTTGTTATTGTGGGGCCACACTATGAATAAATCTCAGCCCTTGATTGCAAATTTTAGCCACTTTCTTGGGTTCTTAGAACTGCTGAAAAATTAATTCAAGCCGTCTTTACAAATATCTAGGAAGTGACACAATTTCACCAAAATATCTATCCCATTAGTATATATATCTGTGGTGAAACAAAAGAACCTCCTCCATTAAAATAATTCCAACTTTTGAAACAAGATGAGGTCAAATTAAATTGTGTCTTCAGTGACAGACACATAACAAAAAAGCAGCAAAATCTTTAATTTCTATTGGCAAAAATTATTACCATTTTCCTACACAACCTAACAAGATAACAAAAGAGACTGTAAAAACACTGCCTTTTGAAATGAGAATGTAGTCATAATAAATACAAGAGACGCACATCCATATAGATCCAAATATTTATCAACACATACTGAAGAAAACAGAAAAACAAAAAACAAACTAAAAAAAAAAGTAGAAAGATGATAAAAATGAAACAGTTACCTTGATGTCCTCGTTGGAGACGCCATAATCCAAGTTGGATATGTAAAGCTTGGTTCCGGTTTCTATGGAAGAGGCTCTACCACCACCAGCTGCTTGACCTGGATAGGCCATCCCTCCCTGATCCGCACCAAACATGTCATGCTTCCAGCTCGAATCCGGTGCTTGAACCACCTATATTATCCAAATCCAAAAACAATCCATTTACATAAACCAAAATGAAACAGATCACCACACAACGAAGGAATCATCAATTACATATCGAAACAGATGATCGACAGAGAGAAAGAGGATGTGACCTTGGGGGCGGTGGCGTAGGGAGTAGGTCGATTGGCACCACGGTTGGGGAAGCGACGAGCAGGGCCAGGACCGGAGGAGGAGCGACCTCTGCCTCTGAAGTTACCACCACCACCACCACCTCCTCCTCCGGATTTCTTGTTGTTCTTGATGAGGTCGTCCAGGGTCATGTCCAAGGAAGCAGCACCTGACATTTTCGGCAAACTCTACCAAGAAATACCAGATCTACACTTTAATATAGATCTGATCTGACTCAAAACTATATATATATATATGTTGATAGATAGATATACAGATCGAGAGAGAGAGATGTGAATGAAGGAGAAGGAGGAAAGGGGGAGGAAAAGCTAGGGCTTCTCCCGACCCGAGGAGAGGGAAGGACTTGTAAAAGAAAAATATTAGAGGCGGTAAAATTTCTATTAATTGTTTTGATTAAAATTTTAATATCTTAGGAAAATGTTTGGTGGTCCTAAATTCTGTGGTTTAAATGGTTTGAAAATGTCAAAGCGATATCGTTCTGATATTTTTAAAATTATTTTGTACTCAAAATAACATTATTTTAACATTTTCAAACTATTTAAGCCCAAAATTTATGGCCACCAATCACTACCCATCTTAGTGTTACTCCTTACAAAATTGCAATGAAAATTGGGAAAAGAACACCAACGAGGTTTGATAATAAATGGCCGATTGATGGTAGGTTATTGAATGGTTTTAAATAAATTATCAATTAAAAAATATTTATTTTAATTAATTATTAAATATTTACATAATATATAATATTTTTTATATATGTAATATAAATTAATATTACATAACATATTTTATATATATAATTATTAATTTATAATAAATTTTATATATTATTTTCATTTTTATATTATTTTCATTTTAATATTTTATTAGATGTTAAAAAATATAGGTATATTAATTATAGTGGAACGATTTTAAAACGGATTATAAATTCAAAATTTAAGGAAAATGATATGGATTTCAAACAAAATATCAAATTTTTTATCAAATCTGTCACATGTGTGTGAATTTTACATCCATGTGAGATGTTTGATAAAAAATTTAATAATTTATTTGAGATTCCTATCATAACTTAAATTTAATTCACGATTAGTGGGTAAAATGGGGTGATGTGAGAATCTCAAAGTTATTTGTTTGATATAATATATAACTGTAGAAAACTGGCAGCTAAGGTGTCGTGGTGTAGTTGGTTATCACGTCAGTCTAACACACTGAAGGTCTCCGGTTCAAACCCGGGCGACGCCAGTTTTCTTTTCCCCTCATATTTGCTCTACGTGTACTTGAATAAATATATGTATTGGCTAAATTGCATTGACTTCCTGAGGTTTTTTTGATAAATACAGTAATTTTTTCTGTAATTTCAATAATTACAGTAATTTCTTTTATTTTATCTGATATTCCTCTAATTTTTCCCTTCTGTCAAATTCAAACAAACGGTGTTATTTTTTCTATAGTAAATGATCTTATTGCCATTCTTTTTAAAATATTAAAAAATATTGGAAGAAGCAAATAGCATTTGGGGTAGTATTTTTAGATTTATTTTTAAAAAATATTAAAAATGTTTAAGAAAATTTTATTTTTTATTTTAAATATATTATTTTTATTTAAATATTTTTATTTTATTTTGTAAATATTTTAATTTTTTTAATTTTAATATTTTTAACTCAAAACATAACTTCACACTTAAATCGTAACCAAACACATAACTAAAAACTCAATTCAAAAATTATTTTCAAACATCATAACTAAACATATAACTTGACACTCCACACTATTTTTCAAAACTGCTCTCAAATCGTAACTAAACGCATAACAAAAAAAATTAAAATATTTAAAAATATATTTAACATAAGTTCGTATTTTTTTAAGTTTGTGTTTGATTATGAGTTTTGAAAATAATTTTTGAATTGAGTTTTGAGTTGTATATTTGGTTAAGACTATATGAGTTTTGAAAAGATTTTTGAAAATTTCTAATTAGAATTGTAATTCTAAAAGAGAACTACACATATTTCTAACCAAAATCTTTTTTCGAAACATGTTTTTACTCAAAACTCAATTCAAAATTCTTTTCAAAACTCAAAATCAAACTATTTCAAAAACTCTTTTTTAAAAGAAAAAAATTTCAAAAAAATTTATTTTATTTTTTAATATTATTTTTGGAATCATGATTTGAGTGTGGAGTCGTATTTTGAGTTATGAGTTTTGAAAAAAAAAAGTTTGGTTATAAATTTTAAAATTTTTTGAAATTATTTTTTTAGGGTAAATAATTTATATTTTTAATATTTATTTATTTATTTTAATGTGCATTATATTTCATACATCTATGTGTTGTATTTTTTTTAATGTTTTAAATATATTTTTTAAATATTAAAAAAATTAAAATTTTATTTTTTTATTTTAAATATAAAGTTTTATTTTAAATATTTTATTTGATTTTATAAATATATTTTTAAATATT